AAATAGAAACCTCAGCGTGGACGTTTGGGTGTCCGAGACCCCAGGAAGGGCGACAGTGATTTAGTTTCAGATGCATTGAGCTGTTTGGTGCCATCATTATTTTAGGTTTTAGTTAAGGCCCTGTCTCACTATAAATATTTAGACAACTTGTGAACTTTTTTTGTCTAAATTACTAAAAAGAAGTTCARGCCCTGTCACAGTRGACAACTTACRCCAACAYATGAAACATTTTTAGTGTCTAAATTGCTAATATTGATCRTTTCWTTTGAATTACATTATGTACACGCCAAAAAGAAGCTTCCTGTKGATTTTTTTCARTTYCATTTTCAACGTAGACGTCTTTAAAATGTTCATAATTTGGTATAAGTTGTCACAGGGCCTTTAGATTAGTTAAAATTACAGTATTTACGTCTATAAATGAGGTTTCCAGTTGATTTTTTAAATTCCATCTTMAACAAAAATGTCTTCAAAAACTAGAAGCCTGGAAAAGAGACGTTGGGGTAAATCTGTCACAAGAGCAATGGCACTTTGTTTGTTCAAAAGCTCACCGACGATTAACACGTTTAAGGTTACTACAGTACAAATGGCTAATATTACACCRGTCACTTTAAATCAGTATAATCCTAATATAACAGATACATGCACAAAATATTTAGAAGAAAAAGGGACTTTATTTCTTTGTATCCGGGAACGCAGGGAAATTACAACATTTTGGAAAAAAAAATTAAGCAAACTATAGAACATCATGTCTCAAAAGATATTCCTCTGGATCCAGGGTATTTAATACTACGTGTGTATCCCAAAAATGCGTTGTTTACCAAATGTGAACAGTTACTGATTAATATGTGTCTACAGTAAGCTAAAACACCGATTACACTGTTCTGGAAGAAAACAACAGGACCAGGGGTGGCATTTATAAAGCTTGCGTACGCAGAAAACAAGCCCAGAAACTTGTGTACGTTACTTTTCACCTAGCCTGGCCCTTGCCTTCCTACGCAGCTCCGCCCAGTTCTAGTTTTGTTTCACTGCTCCGTCTGACTCCGCCAAGGCTGCCCTTTGTCACCGATTCTGTTCATTACTTTCATGGACAGAATTTCTAGGCACAGCCGAGGTGTTGAGG